AAAAAAATATATATATAGACTTTAATAATATCGCTAATAATAAATCGGAGAAAATACTATATTAGCAAGTAAAATGATTTTGTATATGTACAATGTATAACATTCTAAAGCGCAAATAATATATGTAATGATTTTAAAAAATACGGTAGAGTGGCTTAACATTGGCTTAGTATAAACTCAAGTTCACTGCTTCTTCTTGTCATTACTATATTAGTAGAAAGCAATTACTATACCTTTCCCAATATGCAAGCTAATAGAAACAAACCATCAATTAGAACTTATGCTTGACCAAATACACCAACAAAGCCTAGTTATTTTTGTTAAGCAAACACTTATTATGAGTCAGTTACTTTCTATATCCATCACCAAAAGCTATATTATTTCACATTCATCTTTAATACATCAATGTGTGAATTTAAAGAATTTATTTAAACCTTTAAAAAACATAAAATTGTAGCCTTTTGCTTTGGTGATGAAGTTAATATTTGCCTATTGCATAGCATGCAGCAAGCATTAATTATACTTGTATTTTCAAATAAGCTGCAATAAAGCATTCCCAAATAAAAGTAGACTAAATACGTAAATTGAAAAAAATATTTTCTAATTGCATTTTGGTATGTGAAATTATAAATAATATATATACATACAGACATGTATGCGTGTGTACGAGCATGTAAAAAGATATACAGTGAACATTGGATAATTGCAACACTCAACAGAGGTGGAAGGTTGCAATTATGAAGGGGTAGAATTCGAATTCATCCCAAGAAACGAAAATTTTAGCATAGCAGACATAGAAAGGGACAATACGAGTGAAAGAAAAAAAGAGGACTGAGAGTCGAAGCGTTCGGCAACATAAAGGCTCGCGATGAGCTTGAGACCTTTAACTCAAAAATCTAATTTCCTTATTTTTTACTTTTTATGAATGAAACTTTCACTGTCGTGTTTTTTTATGTTTCATAATAAGTAATTGAAGTTTCGGATCTAAAAAAGGAATGCGAGTAAAAAAGAAAAAGACGTCGAAATCGTCGAATTCGGCAATGGTGAGATCATGTTACACCCTTCAATCGCGATTGCTTGTTGAGCGCTATGGTGTGTTAAAAGGAACCTGGTGGCTAAATGGCGGGAATGACAACATTACAATTATGAAGAGGTTTCCGATGTTGCAATAATCCAATGTTCACTATATTAAAAAGTATGCACTAAATGCATTAAAAGTATACTTTAAAAAGTATGTGTGTGTATATATATATAAATACATATTTATTTAAAAGTTTTAGACATTTTCAACTACTTTAATAAGTGATTTAGAATCGGTATAATACACACAGATAAGAAGCAACAAAATATAAGAGAAAATTCCATTTTTTGTTTCAAAATTTTTTTGCTTAAAATACTTCCATAATTGTTAACCCATATTTATGTATATAAAATATTAAAAATATAATTAACTTATTTATCCAAAATCTAGAAAAGGATTCTAGATATATACTAAACAATAACATAAAAAACATATGAAGTATAAATACTTAATAAATATGCACATAAATGCAGAGTAACAAATTTATATGGTTAGAAACATATATATCAAAAAACAAAAGTACATATTTGTATAAAAAAGATAATAAACATTTAATATACAATACCAAAATAACATTTGCAAATTACTAGTAAAACTTTTCAGCATTAAGTATTTAAATACTAAGAAGCTTTACATGCAAATGACAATAAATTTCCAAAATATGTCTACTGCAGAATAAAACAAGAATTAGTGGTGTTTGCATTATGTCGAAAATCAGATATATATACTGTACAACATTATGAATATTTAGTTCATTACACCTGTATATATAAAGTAATATTATTATGAACCATCAATTTCTGTTAAATGAAATCTTCATAAATGATCTATATACTAAAGCATTATCGTAACTATACGTACATATTATGATATCGCTAATACATTAAATGTCTATTATTTTATAAAGCCTAAAAATTACTTAAACTAATACTTTTTAAAACAGACTCATCAACATATGTATGAATAATTCATGGTATAATTAGGTTTGAATTTATAAGGATATAACAAGTTGAAAGAATAAAATGCATTATGTAGAAAGAAAGACAACTGTGTTTATTGAATTAAGTAGTATTATTTTTGCGTTATACTGATCATGTATCGTGCCTACATCTTAACTTTATTTACTAACAATATATTATATAATCGCTATGTATTAAGAATGGACCTAACAATATTCAAGACATAGAAGTGACGTAGTATGTAATACTTTAACTCACCGTCTTTAAATACAAAAATATCCATAGCTCATATATATACAAGATTTTCTCAATTTTTTTATACCACCAAGAAAAAAAGACAGCAAAGTTTTCAGGCTTTTTATTTGTGAAAATAAACATTATACCTCGGAGTTTTTAACTAAAGATATCTATATTCACATTCAAACTCATCAGAAGAGACGTATATACTACAAGTTTGCACAGAAGTATTGAACTATACTATTTAGTGAGAAACCCAACAGAAGAAATTGCAATTTATTTTGGACAAATTTATCGTACAATAGATAGTTATATATCGAGTACATGTATGTTGTTGTTATAAAATATCAGTAATGTAACAACGTTTCATTGTAATATTATGTTAATAAAATATTAATCTCGGTTGCAAGATAAAAATAATTTCTTTCTGATGAGTACATTATTAGTGTTATTTCGGTAATACGTTATGTTATTTCTGTATTTGAGATATACATATGTATGATGATTACTCAACTTACTAATTCCCAACAAATATACCTAATATACAAATATATGATATTTTACAAATTTTCATTGAATGATACATACAGTAACAGTAGTATATGTAATTACTTTACTTTTTTATTATTTATATATTTATATACTATGAGGGGAATATTAATTTTCCCTGATAAATTTGTCCAGTTCTGAAAGTAATATGTTCTATGATACACGAAATATAAACGAATGCACTCAAGACAGAGAAAGAGCTACCTGGTCAACTTTGAGTATTTCACAGATGAAATTAGTAATCATCGAGGTCAACATCATCAAGAGGCTCATCAGCCTGCAGTGACTGGAAATCAACTTTGTAGCGGAGGATTCCTATGCATGAAGATATACTCCATAATTAATAATTATGTTTCCAACCTTTTCTCAATACCATTTACTTTTCAATATATATGAACTCGTGTAATGTTTGATTAAACCTTTCTTGTTACTTTTTAATACTGTACTTTTATTTAAGGTTTTTAAAATGTATTAAATTAAATATAATAAATTACGATTCCCACTCGAAACTTTTTATACTTAAGAAATTAGTTCAAGGTAATCCCTAATTCTGAATCACATTCAAGGGAATGTTAAATTTTTGTTAATATGTACAACTGCTACATTACACACTTTACTCTCATGTCAGCGAATAATGTGGAATCTGCCACTTTTCTGTTAGTACACACATTGAATAGACGAATACACATTATTGTTTTACATGTATATTACTTTCAGCAGAATAAAGTTAGTAACAATATAATATGAATGAAACTGTAAACTTACCTCCAATGCCGCCAAAACCTCTTACAAACTGAGAACCTTCTTGAGATTTGTCTGTAATGATTTCCAAGGTGGCACCAAAGCTCTTGTAATTGTTTGCAAGCCATTCAAGTAGAGGTTGACACTCTACAAGTTCCAATTCTACTCCGCTCTACATATAACAAAAAGCATTAGATACTATTTACTTATTGTTAAATAATGATAACATCATTATGTAGATCAATATTATTTAAGCTTTCAACCCACCTCTTTATCAGTAAAATGAGTTTTGTCTTTTTCTTGTTCTGGTGTTAGATGGGAAACTTTCTCTTCCGCGTTTGTATGATTTTTTAAAACATATCGTTGGATATCTAAGTTTTCCCAACAGATAAGTGTTTCCACACTACCTAATTCGAGTGCTCTTAATGTATCTTCTACGCCAAAACAGTATTTTCCTGTATCTTGTGAAATTTCGTCGAAATAACGACCTAAATAAAGCATAAAATACATTATATATACGTTTAGAAGACATTTTTATCTGCCACACTTATTAAATGTATATTTACCAATTAATTTCTTTTCTTGGATAAATTTTACGTTTTGTAAGGATTCAGCAGCTAATTCAATAGCTTGGTTGAAACCATTCTCACCGCCATATGAAACATCTACTAATTTTATAACTTTTGCTTGCAATCTCTGAAAAATAAAATATACAGTTATATTTGACTTACATTAAAATTATATACTTTTATAATTGCAATAATTATTTTGTAAACAAATAGCATGTACACTTACTGGATCAAACATATCGGATTGACTAAGTTCTGTTTTAAAGTCAGCGCTACCCGCCAAAATTAAACCGGCAATATTAGGTTTATCATTACTAATGTAGAGTTGAGTGGCCACTTCTGCAACCTTTCGAACGTAGTTATGTCGTTTTTCCATGCGTAATCGAGCAAAACGGAGAGCGGATTGACCACCTCTGCCTAAAATTAAGTTTAATAAATTACCATCAAATTATGAAGTAAATACAGATTTCATAAACATTGTTTTTTGTTTTCTTATTTAATTAAATATTTTACTAATCAATTATGTACCATGCTTCTTTGGAAGATCTACGGTAAACTTGTGTAGTACTTCACGAGTATTTCCTTGTAATGTACCAAATAGTGCTCCGTTACCATCCATAACTATGAAACCAAATTTGTTATCATCTGCGAGTAATGCTGTGAGAGCTTCAGTATGAAACTGAAAAATAATAAAATATATATTCAAATTTGTTTTGTCACTTTAGATTGGGAGAGAAATGTTTATATAAAACAGAAAACAATGAAGTACCTTATTATCACAAAGATATAGGGAAGTATTAATAGGCTTAAAAGGTTCAAAATCAATGTTAACTTTTTTTTCCTTTCCCTCTTCTGTTACAATGGTACCACAGTATATAACCAGGCCATTTGGAGGCACTAAAATGAATAATACACAGTTTATATAACTAAAGAACTTAATATGATTATGTTGTAACTACAAGTATATATTATGTATACAAAAGAAAATTTATAACTCCTATTAAGTGTCTAAACAATTTTTTATCTAGAATACAATTAAAACAAAAAATCATAAGAATAAAATAAACATAATTACCTTTCGTATATAATTTTAACCTATGTTGGACTGATGTGATTGCACCCAAAACAGATAATCTATTTACACGCGATTTAATGTTCGAAGCTGTTCCAAATTCATCCGCTAACATTTTGCTTACTCTTGATATTTGATCTTTCGGTGGGATTATTAACGAAATCATGCTTGTCCCATTTCTGTGAACAAAGATACGTTTACTCAATATTTTGTAACAACAAATTGTAAACAATACTATGGTACGGAAAAATCTGCTTACATAAGATCCGAACTAACAAAAACCCATACCCGTACAATATTATAAAATTCAATGAGCAATCATGAAATAACAACACATATGTTCATTGAAATCTCAAAAATTCGTGAATGTTTCTTTTTTTATTTTTACGGGATCACATGAAACTCATGTGCTCAAGGAAAACGAATAGTCAGTTGCCCGCCACATGTATTTTAAAATATATGTGTGACTAGAAAATCGAACAGCTGATAATAAGAAGGCGCAGCAACGTAAATTTCGACCTACTTACCCTCTAGCCATTTCGAGACTTTTTATGAGTTTCTTGATCTTCCAGATCTCGACATTGCGGTCGGCGGAAGTCTCCTCGTGGGACATTGCTGCGCGTTGTGTCGCGTGGTCGCGGTTTACGGGTTCCTACCAAATTAATCTTTTACCACCAACGAGGGGATGCAGTCCGGGATGGTGGTTCGTACCGCCGTGAAAGTCCGGATTAACGAAATTTTCTCTGAAATGAACGATCAATCCGTTTATCGATGAATCTGCTTCGATCCAGTTTATACCGGATTATGTCAGAAAGAACGTGTTCGGAAAAGAATTCCTGTTCTGCTCTAGAGTGAAACGGAACTCTCGGGTTCTGTGCATTTCACTCACTTTCGTATCGGCGGTGTTGATGTTCGCCGTAATTGTAACGTTTTAAATGCGATAATTGTGACACAGCAGGTACCACGCGAATGTGAACCTCGGAATGCACACGTCGGCCATGCACAGCGAAACAACGAAACGTCAGTACTTCGATGGACGTACTGTACTGTATGGTACAAAATGGGAAGCAAAAAGACTGAAGAGTTGGTGCGCGAGCAGCGCCTCGAGACTGCCTTTCGTATACGGGCGCAGCCGCGTTTGCATTGGCTGTTTCGCGGCACTTTGCTCGCACCAGATAATGCTGTGTTTGCAGCAATTTGAAAATTTCCACGTCCCCTTCCTGTTTCTTGGAGTCGAATGTAAATTTTAATACGTATGATAATATATATCACAAGAAAAATTCGATTAAATAAAACTTATATGGAAATGTAGCTTGTAACGTGATGTGTTATAGGTATCGAATTTATAATGTGTGCTTATGTACTATGCATACATTATTAAAAGAGACATTTCTTTTGTATTCATATCAATGTTATTCCATGCTTTATCATTTGAATATATTGTATTGCATTTTGGAAATGTACTTTCCACTTAATGGGCACATGAATATTTTTCTAGGGTATATAGCCGTAGGTTTAGTTTCTGCGTACTCCACCGATCACAAATTATGTGCATATTTGTGGCAAATGATATAAAGTCATATCTTTGCCATTTACTACGTTTATGATAAAGCTATTTCTTAGAAATGGTTAGAAAATAATACAGTGACTGTCGAAGTATAATAATTATGATAAGTATGCTGACACAGATAATCACTACATTTCTTTTGGCAAACATATGTTCATATTTTGTAGGAAATTAACGTTGTGTAAATGCATTTTGGTATTGTGGTTAAATAACATTGTTTTTCAATTTCTACGATGGGGTTGCAAACTTACAAAAAATATATATACTATTTGAAATCGACTGGAATTTGTATCGTTGTGATGGGGTTAGTTTTGATGTACATAAACATATTTTTAAAGCTTTTGATTCATTTTTTAACAATATTATTTTTTATGTAGGAGTTGTTGGCTTATGTACCAATTGCGACAAATGTCACAAATTTTAGGATCTACTGTACCCACTAATGTTTTGAACTTGGAACAAACACGCGCACAATATATTTATATTGACGATCCACGGTTTAAAGGTATATCTTAAAGTATTATGATATTCTACTGGTTTATACAATTTTCAATAGTATTAGTAGTTGTGATCATGTAGAAAGCTATTATTTCTGTGCATTATAATTTCAGATGTACTTATGTTTCGAAAGACTAAAAATTTGCAATCGTCCGTACCAAATCAAACATTTTCTATTAGTCATATCATATTGAAATGGTGGAAATCATTGAGTCGTAATGTAGCATATAAATTATTACATTTAGCTCAACATGGAGATCAAACCGAACAATTAAAGGCATTATACATGTTAAATTCCTTACAATATTTAAGAGGTATTTTTCTATTTGTTAATAACATAACTGTATCGTGTATAATTTAAGCTTAGAATTAAAAATTATAGATTGGCACTATCAACACATTGCACAGATGTTAGATGCTAAAACAGCAATATGCTTGGCAAGAATGCCAAATGCTGATAAAAGATTTTTCTTGAAGCCACCATATTATCATATACAACACAAATTATATGTATGTATAATCAAATTTTGTTCATAAAGAAATATTTAATGAGAAGATCCTTGTTTTAGGATACAATAGAACAGGTACATAAATTGCTTCTTCATTTGAACACGTTATCACAAAACACTCATCCATGTCTTATTCACTTCTTGAATAAAAAATTTAGAGATTCACAACGTGTAAGTATGTGTTACATAAAAATTTGAGAGATGTAATATAGATTATTGTGTGTGCATTTTAATTATCTGCAAAGTATGAAACAAACAGGATGGTTTGATATTCGAACACGATTTAACAAGCTTAGGAATGGCTGCTTCTCCGGCTGTAATATGGGATCAAGAATTGTTACAGAGTTGTGTTCAAGCATTGTGTCATCATTCTTGCCATGAACAGTATAGTAGAGGTAATACAATTAAAAATAAAATTTGCTTTAGATATTTTTGTATATAATTTATTTTTATTTCCAGATATTGTGGATGCAGGAGGACTTTCAGTGTTGATGATACTGAAGAAAATTTTTAATAACAATATTAATATATGTGTATTACTCGCAAAAACAATTTCTAACATTTCCCTTCATTCAGAATATTTAGAACAGATTTTCCAAGCAGGTAAATAAATTTTAATTGTGTTATTCTAAATGTATTAGACACTGTTCTAACATAATTTCTTTCTGAAGGATGGATCGGTACATTAGTGGAATGGTCTCACAATCCTGATATACGGTTATCAGTACCTGCTAGTCGCGCATTAGCAAATTTAGATGTAAATGAAAGTGAACATGTTAAATATCCGAGACGTATTTATCTTCTTCACCCTTTACATAAAAGTAAAACAAATACAAAGTTGGATGTTGTGTTCCTTCATGGACTTCTTGGTGGTATATTTATAACATGGAGACAAAGAGACGATAGTCCTGCATATGCAGTTGTAGGTTTGTTAGTATTACAATGATTTAAAAAATTTGTTCTTCGTTACATAAATTTAATAACTGGTTTGCACTGTTTCCTAAGAATTAATTATTAATATATATTAACATATATTAATATTCTGTTTCTATTATTAATAACATTTATTAATATAGCTATATTTAAAGATAATTTATACAATAACAATATTATAGATCCCTATATGGCGAATAATGGAACTGATGAAGTGTCAACCATGATAGGCGAACAATCACAAGATTTTTTAAGAGACTTAGCTTATGATTTGAGAAAACGTGAATGGGATAAACTAGGACAAGATTTTGAAATAATCTTAGATGATTTCCCTCAAAATATTAATGAAAATACATGTGGACCATATTTCTGTAGCGAGTAGAGAGATTTGCTACTAATCAGTTAATTTATTGTTTAAATAATACTGTATATTTCAAGATTCGATGTTTTAGGAATAGTGTGTCTATGAAAAAATGTGAACGTGATAGGAGGTATAGAACACAGTGTTGGCCTAAAGATTGGTTACCTGAGGATGTTCCATATATCAGAGTTATTGGAGTAAATTATGATTCAAATTTATCAATGTGGACTCCGTTGTGTCCAATAGATGGCATGAAGTGAGCAATATTACCAACAGTAATACTATATAATATACAATATAGTTATATAACTCTTGAAATTATTAAAAATTCGTGATTTTCTCGTTTTAGAACCACTTTGAGTGAAAGGAGTGGGGAGTACCTTGAAAAACTACTAACTGCAGGTATAGGAATACGACCAACGATATGGGTATGTCACTCAATGGGTGGTTTACTAGTAAAAAAGATGCTTGTTGATGGTTGGTTAATTTCACAGTTTTCGAATATTAATTGTTATGGCTCTAAATTTGTCTTCTTATATAGTAATTTATTTTTCTGTGTTGTCGCTTTCTTTACGCAGAATGGAAAAATGGCGATAAAAAAAATATATGTAAAAATACTCGCGGCATAATATTTTATAGTACGCCCCATCGAGGTTCTCGTGTGGCAGTTTTGAAGCATACAACACAAATGTTGTTGTGGCCATCAGTCGAAGTACAGGAACTTCGTGAAGGTTCATAGATTTTATGTACTTTTAAATTTGTTTTAAATACAGTTTAGAAAATATTCTTTCTTTTTTTTTAGAATCACCACATTTATTAAAATTACACGAGGAATTTCTGGATATGTTGAAACAATTTCGTATAGAAATTATTAGTTTTAGTGAAACTAAATCTACACTTGTAACTGCGCTAAAAGTTCCATTTCAGTTCGTTAGTCCTAAGTCAGCAGGTATGAATTCGAAGAGAGTTATTTATGTCGTCATAATATTAACGAATAAAAAGCTGTATATTTATCTTCTAGATCCTGGCATAGGTGAATTTTATGAAATTGCTCAAGACCATTTATCGATATGTAAACCAGCTAGCAGGTAATCATTTATTTGTAGTTTATATAAATTAATTATGTTTCGAGAGTTTTAAGTACATATACATTCTATTTTTCTAGACATTCCTTCTTATACCAAAAACTTTTGAGCATACTAAAACGCCATGTAACTCCTCATGAGAATGAAAAACTTTCTCCAATTATGGAATTTTTGTGTTTGCCAAGTAAATTATTTTGATTCAGTAAATATTTTTAGATTTTCTACATAATTAAGTGCATACAATGTTGTATCTAATATTTTGTTACCAGACTCTCTATTTTTATATAATTATTTCAAAAGTACACCAAATGACAAAAACGAAAACAAATAAGCACAAGAAATTCAGATTTTTCTAAAATTATAATAAGAATAAACCAATTAGAGTAAACATGTTTATATTACAAATACATAAAATTCATTTAAGTACTGTTACATGCCCCCGATCATTTATTATTTCTTTTTTTTTGACAAAAATAAATAATAAAATTCTTGTAATAAAATCAGTAAAAAAAATGATTGTATCATATACTAACTATTTTCAGATACAAAGCATAGGATAATGTTTGCTCAATATTCGATAACAACTGTATAAAATATTATAGAAAA